ACAATGTATTGCAAAAGACAAAAACCTTTGATTAAATGGACCAGACAACAATCACACTTTAATTTATTGATTTAAACACAAAATTACGACTAAAGGAGTGTGAAACAGTGTACGAAGGATTCTAAGTAATCATCTTATATTCTACGGACACTGCATGTCCGTTGGCAATCTATACTCCTTTGATACGTCGTAGTCGGCAGGTGCGTTGTAATATCATACAAAATATTGCAATGATATTGAAAATGAATACGCACCTGCCGACCAACGTAGCATTGAAGACAAAAACAGTTTAAGCTATGTAGTTGCGAAACATTATTATCAGAATCAGTAAGAGGCATGTTTTGCTTTGACAATCTAATTTTTTTAAGTATGTTTGCACACACTTAGCGACGACATCACCCCTGTATAATCCCTGTTCCTTGGGCACAGGGAAATGCACAGATGCCATAACATACGTAGAGTACAAATTAAAATCTAATTCGTTTTTTTCACCGCTGAATTTGCGAAAGTCAGCAGCAACCAAAACGGAGTCTTCTCCGTACAATATTGTGTTTTTTTTTGTAATAAAGATTGATGAATATTCGTAGTGGAGGAATAATTTGTTTTTTATATTTTTTCAACGCAATTGGTAAACTGTTTGTAAACAGACTTTCAACGATTTATAAACAGGAGAGGTTGTTCTTATACACATTTTCAACATAACTTCAACTTATTACAAACTACTGGTCCATCATTGGAATGATATTATCCATTACAACCAGTGTATTCAAAAGAAAGGTTTCCTTGACTTCCCCTGTGTTCAAGAGGATACCCTCGTAAATTGTGTAGGGAACCTGATTTTCAACAGCTGAATGTAGTACAAATCATACTAAAATTCTAAATGTTCTGAAGCTGCATTTTTTCTGTTGTCATAGTATCTTCACCATAGATATCTTCCAATCGATATGTCCTTCACGTAAAATTTTAGTATGTCATCGGCAAAAAAGCGTGATTATCCGTATAGGTAAAGTGTGCAACTGAACCAGTTTTGTTTTTACGGTATATATGTGTCGTATTATGTTCGCTTGTGAAATAGTAGCAAAAAAAGGGTTCTAAAGTGCTGATATTAAATTGGGGGAGTGAAAATAATAATGAAAAAAAAAGGCTTTATAATATTCGTGAGATTTTTATCGTTCGAGGGATTTTACCGTTCGAGGGTTTTTTTTATTCCAGAGATTTTCACCACAGGATTATCACCGCAGATATTTTCGAATGATGTCGTCTTTGTATAGGGTCTTTACAAAAAAATTGAAAGAATTAACATAATTAATAAAAATATTGCATATCTCGTCAGAAAAAAAATTTGTATGTGCAAAACGTGATTATCCGTACAGGCAGAGTGTGTTACTAGACCGATTTTATTTTTATTTTTATGTTATATATATCTTCAATTATGTTTGTTATGCAATAGTAGCTCCGTGTTATTAGTTGACCATATAGGTACGCCAGGGGTTAGGCGTGTATCTAACCGTCATGTACCTGCTATGAAAAAGACTGTTGCGTAGCCAATAAATTTGTGAGGACGTAGATATCACATGATGCTGATTAGTAGGTCTTGTACATAGTATAGTAATTATTGTATGTACCAAATGGTCCATAGTTAGATGAAAGTGCGACTCGGTGACTATGCGATTCAGAACATTGTCGCTTACAAAAGCATCAGCGTGCGAAAAAGGTTGTCTCAGTAAGGAGTTTGATCTATATAGAGCGATCATCCAATCGAAGGTCAGAGAGATCTGCGTGTGTCTAACTGAGCGGAGGATACTTGTAGCAATGGATACCTTTGTCAGAAAACGTTTCTAACTTTTCTTCTTAGTGCGATATGTATTTGCGTCATTCAGCCGCTTGCATACCTGAAAAAGTTATCAATCATGTATATCTGGAAATCAATGCGCGGCGGGTGAGTACGCTTTTAATCGCAGTTTTTATCGGGCGTTCTTTCTAGATAAATACGAGTATACTAAGATTTCATACTCGGTAGTAAGAAAAAAAATTAAAAAGGTTTTGGACGGTGTGTATGTGTGCAGGGGGGAGGATTATATGCGGCGGGTAGTTATATGATGACTTAGATCAGGGGTTGCATGTATCTCGTAGCAGGTTGTGCGTATAGGTGTGTAAGCCGATACCTTTTGCGACATAGTTTTTGAGTAGCGAGAGAGGTTTTTTATGGAATAAAGGTGTTTGCAGAGCGCAGGCGAGTAACTGGGTTTAAGAAGGATAGTGCAAGAAGCAGGGGAAATTGTGTGTTGGTGGCGGAGTTAGCATGTTTTAACTGCAGAGAGTTAGAACTCGCAGGTATGGTGCAAACTTACGAGGTTTTTGTCAACAAGGGAGTCTACCCTTGTTCGGTGACTGGATGAAACATCCGAGTATGTGTGTGATGGGTGTGTAAAACACGGCGATCCCGTAAAGTACGGGAAACAAAGGGCTATAAGTCTGTCATACCGCAGTTAGTTAGCAGCAGTTTAACATGGGTGGTTTGTTTCAACCATCAACTCGACATTGAGGATGTGTGAGGGAATTTTATGCAAATGTTAGGGGGGAGCACGTCAGTAATTAGAGTAAGTAGTTAGTAAATTAGAGTTAGGAATGGCCGTCTGAGGACAGCTTTAGGGGGGGTGCACGCCCTGAAGCGCGCTTTTCGCCGCTTAGCACCCATAGCGGCTTATCAGAGGGCTAACCTCTGGCTCCCTATTAGTAGTTGGCGGGTTATATTAGCAGGTACAACAGAAGTGGACACAACTTTTAGGAGCATACCTGAAGGTGGAAGTTTTGTGGAGAGCACGCGTCGTTATCTGCCGCCATCGCTTGCAAACTCTGCTTGTAACAGCTCACACGAGTAGCAGATGCTTCCGAGTTGTGCGTTAGGAGCCAGGTAGTGCCAGGTTAGGGAGAGGAAGTGTCTTGTTGTACGAACGAGCTTGCAAAGCTACTCGTCTTTCCGAGAGGGGAAAAATGTGTGTAGGTAGTATTTGTAAAGGGAATGTGATGAGTGGTGTGGTGCGAGAGCTATGGTCATGCCCGCGCGATGTGCAACAAATGTGTTCGTCAGTATAGTAGGCAGCGCTGGGCTGGTGTGTGTGTGCCATTGTGATTGGGAGCTTGCAATTCGTGTAGGGCTTTAGGGGGTGTGTGGGTACGATCAGGGACTCGGAAGGGTTCTTTCTTTGGTATAGTTTTTAGCAAGGGTGAGGGTGGGTGTGTATCTGTCGATGACTGGTGATTGTAGCGCTTGCGGGCGTGTAGTGTTTGTCTGCTATGCGTTTTTGCGCGGGCTATGTTATGTATCGGCAGATTTCCTAGAGTCTGCTAACTTGCTTTTGTTTTACGTATTGTCTGTATGGGCTACGACTCGGAGGTTTTGAGTTTGTCCATATCGCAGAGGTCAACATGTTTGTCATCTGCTCGAGGAGGTGTAGCTCGGGGAATGTTTGTCGTGTGGGATGGAGGTGAAGTTATGGCGGGGGATGTGTCTTTTTGAGGTTTGTCCGTTTGTTCAGTTCCAGATCTCGGACAACCAGTTCTTCGTAAAACATGTGTTGTCGTATCGTTATTGAAACGGTGCATCTTTTTGTTTGGGTGTGTGATTCGGCAGCGGCCTAGAGCTGTATTTCTGTTGGTCCCTATGCTTGTGTGGTGTGGGGGTCTGTTTTAATTTTGAGCCGGGTATGCGTGAGACCCATAACTATTTCTTGCTTATCTGTGTTATTTGTTTACATATTGTGTTTAATATGTTTTATAGTTAGATATATTGGTTTATATTAGTCTTGCCGTGGTGAGAGGGGGTTGTTATAGTTGGGATATTTATGTGCGAGTTTACTGGTGGGTATTTTTGTGCATTCGTTTTTAAAAAAATGTATATTACTAATAGCTAATTATTTATTATTTTTGATGAAAAATATTGTGTGCATTATTGGTTGTTAATTTTGTTATTATTGTTTTTAGTAGTTTTTAGTGCATGTTTGTGTACATGTGTGTGCTTGTGTGTTTTGTGTATGTGTGTGTGTGTGTGTGTGTATGTGTGTGTGTGTGTGTGTGTGTGTGTGTGTGTGTGTGTGTGTGTGTGTGGGAGTGTGTGTGTGTGTGTGTGTG